TATATATATATATATATATATATATATATATATATATATATATATATATATATAAAATTTCTTTAGAAATCAAAAACCAAACTCACCACAGAATATTTAGAACAATTACATTTTGACCAAAGGCATGAGTAAAAATAATAATAACGATAACAATAATAATCCTACTATTTTGAAAAAGCACACACACACTAATTTATCTTTCACCAGAATAAAGACAAACAAAGTGAAAAAATGCATGACGTTCAGAAGACTTTCCCCAGCCGGTTGATTTTAATTTGTGCTCTCAGATGTGAACGTAGTGCACGGCCTGCAGTTTGTTTCTGTTCCACAGCGCAGCATCAGTACCACCTTCTGGTTCAACCTGAGAACTTGGAAATGAAAAACACTCATATGATTTGACTTCCACAGCACCATCTTCCTGCAAAATGACAGATCAGACAGAGTGAGAAGCATTGAAAGAATTATCAGTCCAGGAAACATGTCTTCTTCCTGGTATTTGATTTCCTTGAATGTGTGTGTGTGGGTGCATCAGTCAGGGTGTGAGATTAGTCCAGGTGAAACACACACTTTGTGTGCATTGAATTGACTTTAGGGACAAACTGCCTGCTCAGAAGTTTTTAATAGTTCAGTTTATTTAAAGGGAAAATTTAGAAGCCCACTTTGTTATTTGATGAAAAAAAAAGATAATTAAAATCAAAATTATAAAAAAAAAATCTATCTCAAAATTCTGACCTAATATCACAAAATTAGGAGATAGCATCTTAAAAATTATGAAAGAGTTACAAAGAAGCAGAAATTAACTTTATTAGTATAAGATCTTTTGAAGTAGAGGTCTGTAGAAACATTAATTCAATTCAATTCATCAAAGTCCATGCTCAATAATCCAGGTACAAAATCCAACAATGTTCACTCAGGTCATCTGGACAGTTTCTCTTTTTCTTGAGATGTTTGGTCCTTCATCCATTCCAAAGGACTTCATCAATCTGAGGAGCCACAAACAAACTCAGAAACCGTCTTATCACCAGCAAACTGGTTGGTCCATTATGGGGGTGTGCTGCTTGTGAGACTGAGTTTTTTTTTTTTTTTTTTTTGCTCCTCGGACTGATGAAGCCCTTTGGATGAAGGATGAAATGTTCATCCATCCATCCATTCATCCATCCATCCATCCATCCATCCATCCATTCATTCATTATCTTTACCCGCTTATTCCTTTTTTGGTTATGGCGGTCAGTGGTGCCCGTATCCAGCCATCACTGTGTGAGAGGCGAGGGACACCTGGACAGGTCTCCAGTCCATCACAGGGACACCTGGACAGGTCTCCAGTCCATCACAGGGACATATAGACACAACCATTCACTCTCTCTCTCTCACCTAGAGACAATTTAGGTTAAGAGATTCTTCATTGTCATTCGCACCACATGTGGTACATGTGGTGTAACGAGATTATGTTCTCAGGGTCCCAGTTACATCCAACAATAAAAATGAGAAAGACAAACAATGATAACATCTAAGATATGAACTAAGAAAAACATCAACTAAATATACACTAAGCACTAGTGGCATAAAAACAACACGCAGAACAGCAGCACTAACATGAGTCTGAGTGAGTAGATGAGCATGCATGAACACATCAACACGAAATAGATCAGCAGCAACATGAAATAGATCAGCAGCAACATGATGTGATTTTTCACAGTGATTATCCTGGTTAGAGATTCGTTAATCTAACAGCCTCAGGGTAGAAGTGTCTGTGATGGTGGGGAGACTGACTCCAACATCTTCTGTGCAGCCTTCACCACTCTCTGCAAAGCTTTTCTTTCTGCAGCTGTGCAGCCTCCATGCCACACGTTGATGCTGGAGCACAGGATGCTCTCCGCTGCACACCTGTAGAAGGAGGTGAGGACTGAGCTTCCCAGACCAGCTCGTCTCAGCCGCCTGAGGAAGTAGAGTCTCTGATGAGCTTTCTTCATCAGGCTGGTGGTGTTGTTGCTCCAGCTGAGGTTGTCATTCATGTGTACACCCAAGTACTTGTAGCTGGAGACCACTTCCACCACAGATCCTCTTATGTTCAGGGTGGTGTAGGTGTGTTTGTTCCTTCTGAAGTCCACAATCATCTCCTTTGTCTTCTTCACATTGATGTGAAGGTTATTCTCTCTGCACCAGCTCTCCAGGTGTTCCACCTCCTGCCTGTAGCTGGACTCATCATTGTTTGTGATGCATCCCACCACCGCTGTATCATCTGCAAACTTTGCAATGTGACAGCCTGGATGGGTAGCTGCACAATCATACATGAACAAGGTAAACTAAAGAGGGCTCAGCACACATCCCTGAGGGGAGTCAGTGCTGAGGGTTATGGTGGAGGAGGAGAAGTTGTGGATCCTCACTGACTGTGGTCTGTTTGTTAAGAAGTCTAGTACCCAGTTGCAAATGGAGGGGCTTAGTCCTAGTGTGAGTAGTTTGTCCATCATGGTGTTGAAGGCAGACATGAAGTCCACAAAGTGCATACAGACGTAATTTAGAGTTACCAATCAGTCTAACATGCATGTTTTTGGTCTCATCCATCCATTCTCTTCTGCTTATCCGGGGTCGGGTCGCGGGGGTAGGAGGCCCAGACTTCCCTCTCCCCAGCCACTTGGGCCAACTCCTCCAGGGGAATCCCAAGGCATTCCCAGGCCAGCCGAGAAACATAGTCCCTCCAGCGTGTACTGGGTCTTCTTCTGGGTCTCCTCCAGGTGGGACGTGCCAGGAAGACCTAACCAGGGAGGTGTCCAGAAGGCATCCCAACCAGATGCCTGAGCCACCTCAACTGGCTCCTCTCGATGTGGAGAAGCAGCGGCTCTACTCTGAGTCCTTCCTGGATGACTGAGCTTCTCACCCTATCTCTAAGGGAGAGCCCAGACACCCTGCGGAGAAAACTCGTTTCGGCCACTTGTATCCGAGATCTCGTTCTTTCGGTCACAACCCAAAGCTCGTGACCATAGATGAGGGTAGGAACGTAGATCGACCGGTAAATTGAGAGCTTCGCCTTTTGACTCAGCTCTCTCTTCACCACGACAGACCTGTACAGCGCCCGCTTCACTGCAGATGCTGCACCTATCTGCCTATCGATCTCACGCTCCTTTTTTCCCTCATTCGTGAACAAGACCCAAGATATTAAACTCCTCCACTTGGGGCAAGACCTCCTCCCGGACCCGGAGAGGGCACTCTACCGTTTCCAGTTCAAAACCATGGCCTCGGATTTGGAGGAACTAATCCTCATTCCGGCTGCGTCACACTCGGCTGCAAACCGCTCCAGCGAAAGCTCTAGATCATGACCTGATGAAGCCAACAGGACCACATCATCTGCAAAAAGCAGACACGCAATCCTAAGGCCACCAAAACGGATCCCCTCAACACCTTGGCTGTGCCTAGAAATTCTGTCCATAAAAGTTATGAACAGAATCAGTGACAAAGGGCAACCTTGGCGGAGTACAGCTCTCACTGGGAATGAGCCCAACTTACTGCCGGCAATGCGGACCAGGCTCTGACACCGGTCATACAGGGACCTAACAGCCCTTATCAAAGGGCCTGGTACCCCATACTCTTAGAGTACCCCCTAAAGGACTCCCTGAGGAACGCGATCGAGCGCCTTCTCCAAGTCCACAAAGCACATGTAGACTGGTTGGGCAAACTCCCACGCCCCTCCAGGACCCTGCTGAGGTTGTAGAGCTGGTCCAGTGTTCCACCACCAGGATGAAAACTGCACTGCTCCACCTGAATCCGAGGTTCGACTATATGACGGACCCTCCTCTCCAGAACCCCCGAATAGACCTTACCAGGGAGGCTTAAGAGTGTGATTCCCCTGTAGTTGGAACCAGTGGTGGGATGGGATGTACTTAAGTACATTTTTCACATATCTGTACTTTACTTAAGTAGAATTAAATGTGGGTACTTTATACTTTTACTCCACTACATTTTACATGAAGTATCTGTACTTTCTACTACACTACATTTCTATAATGCATTGCATTACAAGTTACATTCATGTTGCAGCTTTTTGATTTGTTTGTTACTTTGAAATAACCAATGGTGAGAGGAGAGTTGGTCCATTGAATCACTGCAAAGAGAGCAGGTAACGTTAGACCCACCTTCAAGAAGAGCTGGGTCAATGACATATATTCTAGTATATATGTCACTGAG